TATTTCTTCAAATTCTCTGTTAGGTCCTGGAAAGCATTGCTTATTCATCATTCGTGGCAACAAGGGGGCCACCATATMGATCTTGTGATTTGTTTGATCAGATGTGTTCAGAGATTGATGAAGTTATTTCCAGTGAATCCAATGTTGATGCTGACATTGTTGCCAATGTTCAACACATTGCTGGAAAGCTTTTTGAAAATGTAAGTTAGCTGTGTATCTCTAGTCTCTTTCACTGCTAATTTTCTTAAACTCCTTTCAAAACTCCTTGTCCTTAACTTGTGACTTTGTTTGATGACTAAAGTCACCTCTGGCAGTGTTTGATGATGAATATCATATAATTTAATTATATCGTTATATAATAAAGAATCTCATATTTACAAATATTGGTAATAAAAACATGAATAATAATAAGATAATCATATGAAGAAGTAGCTGATGGTAATAAGATATGTAAAATCAAAACTATCTATTATATCATTATATAATTATTGCTCAATTACGTCACAGTATGTTTACATTGTAGATTGATGGCCAGAAAGACTCGAAATTTGGGCCAAGTAATATTTTTGTGCATTGAGTTTTGATGTACATCTTTTATCAATGATAGCTCATCTACATTTTATTTGATATGCAGTCACTCTGATCCCCTCTGGAGACCATAATCCTTAGCATCAAAACTATAGAACGTTTTAATGTAACATGATGATGTGATAGGACAATTAATAAAAAAATTCTAAACAATTTTCTGCAGTAGCAAACATTGCCTCACACTTTGGTGTAATTTTTCTCAAAAGGAGCCTTGCTCAGATCAATCAGAGAATCAAATTCAAAACAGTTTAAATGARGATGAATTAGAGAACAGCAGAAAACTGTCGTTCCCGGAACTTGATACTGCAATAATAAACCAGTTTATTGAGGAAGAAGCTGCCAATGTGGAACATTTTCAGGTAACATTATCAAAGAATTCACGACTTTGAAAAATGGCATRTGATATATCACGGTCACCCACTAGGGCACTGGGGACAAAGCACTAAAATGAGGTCTCAGAAGCCAGTCTCTGAACTGTAAACTTTGATGGTGTCTTGCAAGAGTGTTTTGTTGTAAATAACATACCAATACATCTTTCAAACTTTTGGACACTACATACATGCAATCTTTGTGCAGTGGTTTTTAGATGAAGGCTTGTTTCCATGATCCGTAGCTAGTCCACCAACATTGGCGTTCATGAACTACTGCCATTTTTGAAAGTCGTGTATGATTCTTTGTCAAAGAGAAACAATTTTTTTTTCTCAAGATGTTTTCATGTTCTTTTCCAGGTAACAGAGCCTGACAGGCAGATAGTACCATGTGGCAATACAGCATATGGACGACAGCAGCACTATATGTATATACATACCAGGAAGCTGGAGGTCTTGAAGGACTGTGTGGCTTATATATTTGATAACAAGATATCTGAAGCCAGAATGGTAAGCTACCAGGTTTCTCCATTTTCTGCTTTTGGGGTAGAAACCTACCATTATCATCATCGTTATCATCATCAGTATCATCAATATTGTCATCATCATCATCATCATCATCATCATCATTATCATCATCATCATCATTATCATCAATATTGTCATCATCATCATCATTATTATCATCATCATCATCAATATTATCATCAATATTATCATCATCATTATCATCATCATTATCATCATTATAATCATAATCGTTATCATTGTTATCATCATCATCATCATTATTATCATCATCATTATCATCATCATCATCATTGTCATCACCATCATTATCATTATTATTAAGATAAGTAACATGACTTATGTAGGAAACAAAATTATTATGTTTTTGCTTTATATCACCTGTAGGCTTTACCTTCTGTTCTTCGTTCTCTCAAGTCCAAAGGAGCACAGATGGCACTTTGTCATGAATTGTCACTAAGAGCCAAGCAAAATCGATCAGTCCTTGAACATGATCAATTTGACCTTGTAGTGAGATTGATGAACAGTGCGTTGCAGGTATAGAGTGTTGATGACTCGTTAGTCTGGTTCTAGGGAAGCAAGGGTGGCAGAGCGGTGAGAACGCTGGCCTGTCACCTCTGTGCGCCCTGTTCGAATCTTTGTGGGGGCGCCATATGTGATTTGAGTTTCTTTCAKTCTCTCCCTTGCTTCAAGGGTTTTTCTGGGTCTTTTCCGTTTTTTTCTGCCTCAGTAAAGGAAGTGCCTAGCCGGCAGCACGCTTATGTGTAAGTGTATGTAAAATGTGTCTGTAATATAGCACTTCAATTTGAGCGCATTAAACTACGTCTTTCACAATTCAGCACCCGTGCTGCCATGAAGGACGATTAGCACCCAACACCTTTTCCCTTTTCCCACAGTTATCAATTATTATTAATCCTTATTGATTATTATTTCAATAGGACGATGCTAGCATGGATAACACTCAAGTAGCAGCAGCCCTCCTTCCACTTACGGCAACTTTTTGCAGGGTAATATATAAATGACATTGRCACMTTTTTATGAAAAAAAAGTTGCAAAAGARGCCTGTAGTTTTGCRCCARATTCAGGCAGAATCTCATWAATTGCCMCTTTTKAGCTTGTTTATCTTTTGCAATGTCAGGAAAATAATTTTTGTTGTCCAAAAAAACATACTTTTTACATGATCTCTTTCTTGTTCATTTGATGGCTGCAGCAAACAAGTTTCCCGTTTTGATTTTAACAGCTAAAAAGGTTTGTTGCATTATTATCTTATGAATATTTYCAGAAACTTGCAAAAGGTTGCATACAGTTTGCCTACACATGCGTCCAGGACCACTCCATTTGGGAAAAGCAACAATTYTGGGAAGAAGCCTTCTACATGGATGTMCAAACACAAATAAAACAACTATAYATTGTAGAAGAAGCACCGCGAGCTAATGAAGAAGAYGCGCTGGAAAAACCAATGGAGCACCGATCATCTAGAAGTAGCCTTACGCCRTCCATGAAGCACAGGAGCTTCTCACAAAAGGAGGGATCTGGGTCTAGTGATACTGAGGGGGATTCTAAGTCTTCCCTWAAGGCTGYTAGTAAGTCACAGCCCAGCAAACCTCCYCCTAGTGCTCTGGATATTGCTGCTGAACAGGTAAAGATGRTGATRATGATAACGATGATGATGATGATAATAGTTAATGATAATAACTAATGACACTGATGATAATGTTGTTGATGATGATGATGATGATGGTAGTGATGGTGATAATGGTGATAATAATTAATGATAATAATGATGATAATGATAATGTTGATGATGATAATGTTGATGATGATGATAATAATAGTYGACTTTAGATATTTTGGTTCAGTGACCATGCACAAAAGAATTGCAGACGAGGCTCCGGGGAAATAAAAGAATAAATCAAGATTATCCATTGTTTCCCCGGAGCCTCGTGTGCGTTCTTTTGTACATAGTCATCGAACCAAAATATCTAAAGTTGACTATTATGATGATAACGATGATTATGATAATGTTGATGATTATTATAATGATACTGATAATGATAATGATGATAATAATGATACTGATAATGATAATGATGATAATAATGATACTGATAATGATAATGATGATAATAATGATACTGATAATGATAATGGTGATAATAATGATACTGATAATGATACTGATGATGATAATGATGATGATGGTTTGATATGATAGTGCTTTACTTATGATACCAGTGATGTATTGATTATAGAAATCTTGAAAATCCGATTTCTTATAGCTCAAGCGCTGGCCCCAGATGACACAAAAAGAGCGAGATACATTAATATCTAGTGAAGAGAGTATAGTCTACAGTCAGGCAATACACTATGCTAATCGCATGGTGTACATGAGAATACCTCTTAATGCTTGCACTATGATGCATTCCAAGAAAAATCAACAATCGCAGCAAACTCCAGTCACAGGTATAAAAATAATTTTAGTTTCTCGTTAACCCATAGACCTTTTCTGAAATACAAAATCATAGTGCAATGTGGTCTAACTTCAGCACAAACAACGCCATATTTGACAGCATGAACAAAAGATGTTTGTGCCGAATCTAGACCACGTAATGCAAACTGCTATCTCAGAAAAGGCCTACTGAATGAGAGAGCTTATAATACATTTTACAGAATAATACACTAATGTAGACTTACAAGATTTAACACAATGAAACTATTACACAATGAATATTTACATCAAATTTACAACCTTTAAAGTGCGCGATTTTTTCCAGTGAACGTTCAATAGATTCGCTATCCTCTACTTTAGAGTTGATTTGTTTTCTTTTTATATACATTTTACAGAAAAATACACTAATATCGACTCACAAGAATTCACACACTAAACATTATTCATTCTGTATTCTACTCTATTCGTACAGGGTCCATAGCTGGTCGTGAGGGGTCTGTTAGTGGTGTGTATACTGATTCTGGCACAATCAATGGCGGTAAGACAGCAATTACTTATTGCAATCTATGTATAACATTTGTGATCAAGATGTCTTCCTCCATGCACGACTTGGCACAATATTTCACGGTAGCCGACTACGGCACTGAGCACAAGGCACTAAGGGTGTCTTGCAAGAGTGTTTTTTCTTAAGTAACGTACCAATACATCTTTCAAACTTTAACAAGTTTTCACACATTCGATCTTTGTGGTGTTTTTTAGATGTAAAGCTTTTGTGGTCTTGTCACTAGTCCCCTGATATTGAACTACCGCCATTTTCGAAAGTCGCGTATTCGTCCATCCCATCATTCTTCCATTCATTTATCCATCCCTTTTATCTATTCTTTCATTTTCATTTGTTAATCAACCCATCAGTCTATTTATTTATTCATTCATTCATCCATCCATTCATTAACTTTGTCAATTGAATATCTATCCGTTCATTTATTTATTCATCTCAGTGATAGTTCTATCATTTTCATCCTAATCTATTTACGTTTGACAACAGAGACAGCAGGGGACTCGTCGAACAGTGTGGCTGAAAGTGGATGGGACAGTTATCTTGATGACGAGGAGGACACTATAGCAGACAATGTGTCCAAGTTTGTTATTAGATTTGTAGACCGTGTTGGCACTGAAGCAGGGATTAGAACGGAGCATATGAAATCACTGTATGCTATGATACCAGGTAGGTTCGTCTGTCCGTCCAACCTTCTGTCTACGTACATGTATCAGTTCGTCTGTCCGTCCAACCTTCTGCCTATCAGTCGGTCTGTCTGACCATTTGTCTTTTCATGTGTATTTGCTCTTCTGACCCTCTGTTTGCCCATCTATCGCGCGCTGCCTATCAGTCTGTAAGTTTGCTCATCTCTCATGCCCATCTCTATCTTCATACATGTTTAATAACTGTCACTGCCTGTCAATTTGTTGTTCTTTCTTTCTGTCTGAATTTCTGTCTGTCCATTTGCCTTTCTTCTCAGTAGTCAAACACAAAAGAATCAAGACGAGGCGCCGTGCGTAAAGCTCAGTCAACTGTGAAAAACTATATTGTCTTTTCACGAATGACTGAAATTTATGCATGGCGCCTCGTCTCGATTCCTTTGTGTGAGGCAAAATTTGCAAGTCAGCTTTTTAATACTCCAATTTCAAGTTCTGGTTTTCAAAACCAAACAACATATTCTTTTGTTTCATTGTTAGCCTGAGGAAATGCATGGAATTTGAAAAGAAAGACAATAGAATTGATAGAATCTCACACTTTTATTCTCACAATTAGGAATATTTTGCGCACAAATGAGGCTAACACAGAGCATTGGGGAATTCAAAACAGGATTATTCGCCCTCCTGTTTAATCCCTCTCATTTTTTCTTTTTGTCCATATTTTATAATTTCATTCCAACAGGCGTTGTAGCAATGCACATTGAATCCCTAGAACCAGTGTGGGCTCAGTACAGACGCTTGGCACCCCAAAGAAAGGTAAGATCATGCAACTGCTCCAGGGAGACCTAATTGCAAAGAAACAGTGATGATACTAACCCACTGAAAATAATATTAGACTAATACACCTTAGTAGTCTCTAATTCCATTGTTTTCTATTGTGTCTATTTGACTATTACACCTTGACTGTTAGATTTTGTTTCACAGGTTTAATGTCTTCACTCTATTAGACTAATACACCTTAGTAGTCTCTAATTCCATTGTTGACTCTTGTGTCTATTTGACTATTGAATAATGTCTCTATATTCTCTGTTTCTAATACTTCTGACCAATAGAATGCAAAATGATATTTTGGTCGTACGAGGAACAGTCTCTCTTGTCTTGTTATGCCTTTCCTCTAGCGATCTCTTTTGATAGTCAATCTTATTTCTGTTTCTATTTCATTTTTGAATGGCGTACTTTCTGATTGTTTTGGTTTATCAAACTGCATGCCTCAAATGCTGCTATTTACATTATGCTTGAGAACAATTTTCAAGTATTTTTCCTGCATGCAAATTTCAAGTTTTAAAAACATTTTGCACTTTTTTTATTTTGAAAAATTAAAATTGTCTCTTACCCTGTCAATCAAACCTCATCAACTTGATTGACAGGACTTTTTCGTTGATTTTATTGGTCAGGAGTGCTGATGGGTGTGTGTCCACCCAACACCCCCCGTGACTGTCTGTCTGTGCATTGTTTGCCATTAGATCAAAATCATGCGGCCAGCGCTGCTTCCGGGGGAGGAGATGTTGTGTGATGGTCTTCGGTGCTACCTCCTCGCTGATGGCCGGGAGTTGGGTCGTAGTGGCGAGGCAGGTGGGCCGTGTTTAATTCCTGCTGAGGGAGCCGTCTTCTTGACTAATTACCGCGTGATATTCAAGGGAACACCCGTCAATCAATATGGTAAGATGTTAGTTTAATTTGTTTGTGTTGATCTCATGAAACGTGACATGCGCATAGGTGAATACCCAGGGCCTTCGCTGGAGACTCCGCCATTTTGAAAATAGCGCGAAGGCACTTGGGGACAGCTTGAACCCATACTTCCATAATTCCTTAATACTCCCGTTTCGATATCTTATTTGTGCACTCTTAACATCGAAAGCATGTAATATATTCTTTTATTCAGCAAAGATCCCATTGTTATGCAAATACTCTAGGTGTACAAAGAAAACAATAGAAGTTTTATGCTCGAAAGCTAAGCTTGCACAAAAGAGAATTCGAAACTGGAGTATTTTAATAGCCGAATACCAAAGTGATTGTAGAAGTCATTATACAGTGCTAATGAAACGTTTGTCTGTCTGCGTTAATCGTTATTATTGTTTTAGCTTCAGAAATGATCGTTACAAGGAGTTTTCCCGTTGGTTCAACGATACGAGAAAAGAAAATCAACGTCACGTACATGGAGCACTTGGAACAGTGGCTTCACGACTGCATACAACTAAGGTCAAGTACATTCCAGGTAAATAGCGTGTTGTAGATAAACTGCCATCTATACTACATGATATACTGTATGATAAACAGCAATCTGATTAACATATTTTGGCAGTTCGTGTTTATTATTGTTGATGTTTGGCTAGTATTACGTTTAAGCAATACGAGGTCTGCGAACGCGAACTTGAATCTATAAATTAATCAATCAATAAAACACTCAATTAAACAAACAAACTGATCTATCAATCAATCAATCAATCAATCAATCAATCAGTCAATCAATCAATCAACCAATCAATCGATTAATCAATCAATAAAACACTCAATTAAACAAACAAAGTGATCTATTAATCAATGAATCAATCAATCGATTCATCAATCAATCAATCAATTAACCAATCAATTAATTAAGCAAACAACCGATTTATCAATCAATCAATCCATCAACCAACCGATCTATCAATCAAATCAACCAACCGACCAACTAATCAATCAATCAATCAGTCATCATACACCAGACAGTCAGTCAGTAATTCAATCAACCAACCCATAAAACACTAAAAATCATTCTATCTTTAGATGATGAAACTAGCATACGACGAAGAAGTAGGCTCCGATACAGTTGAAATGTTTCGTAAACGCCTTCACGCGGTATCAGGACCCCCCACGGTTTTCAGCAGCTTCGCATTCGTAGGCAAAGGCCTTGCAAGAACAGAGACACAGGTTATCAAAAAACAGATGGATAGACAGGGAACACTGAGAAAAACAAGAAAAAGATTTCACGATTTAACTTCCTCTTCAAAGAGAGGGAGTTTACCAAACTTAAAAGGTATGAAAGAAGCATAACAGCTTCCTCTCTTGGAAACAAGACAGTAAAAATTGAAAGTAAAAAAAAATAAACAAGACAAAATTTCCAGTTTCGAATTCTCTCAAATACTTTAATCTAAGTATGCTTATATTCCTTTAGCTTCAACCAGACGAAAAAAATATAAAGTTGAAAGTTCAAGAGCGGGCTCGCCCAGTGGCTCGATGACAGGCGACGAGGGCGTGGTAGATGTAAATGATATCCCAGTTAAAGTGGGCAATATGTCACAAGCTTGTGAGATTCAAGGGGTCGACAAGCTTAATAGCAGTCCTTGCTGTCAAGATTATTCACGTTTAGGGTTTGGCAGCGTGTCTAGGGGGCCCGGTGGTGGACCCTGGAGGATCTCCATGGTGAACTATACGTACACCGTATGTCGGAGGTAAGAAAATCGACCTATGACGGCATTAGGTGAGGTGTACCATGGGAGTACAAACTGAAGGCATGTTAAGTTGTGTGTCACACTGTAACCTGTAAGCAGTTATTTCAAAGATAATCTTTTAGTGATGATGATAATTGAGCGATCCCGATTCATTGTCCTACCTGCCTAGTTACTGTTGCTACGTCGGCAAGCGAAAATATTCCTTTGATATAAAGCATGGAAAAGATACCAATTGCTGCGATATGTAGGAACTTACTTTGTGTTATATGTTTTTTACATTTTTATCGAGAAAAGCTAATGAATTTAGTTAAAATATTCGATTTTGTGTTTGTTGCTCGGACAGTTTCAATTCCACTGGGAAAACTGGTCATTGTTTGGTGATTTATCTATCTGAAGAAGGGATAGATGAATTAAAATGATTTAACTACGTAAACAATGATTCGAAAATCATTTATCATAGGAGCTATTTGATGATTAGCGTTTAGATGATCAATTTAACTATCATTCCATAGTTATCCATCAGTATTAGTGGTGCCCCAGTCCATATCAGACGATACAGTTCTTAGAGTCGCCAAGAACCACCGCCAGGGACGTTTCCCTGTAGCAGTATGGAAACACTCTAAGAACAAGGCTACTTTATTGCGAGCTGGTGGAATAGAGAGAAGTAGCATGGCGTCAATTATTCGGTCGGGAATTGGAGGCACATCGAGTGGGCAGTCAATTCCATCGTCATCCTTAGAACAAGAGAAAGTATTTGGTGCTGTAGGTTAGTTAAGTTTTTACTAAACATTTTTTCATTTCATTTCTGCAATTTCCTTTCCTTCAATTCTCTCGATTCCCATTTCTTCGATTCTCATTTCTTCAATTCCTATTTCTTCGTTTCCCATTTCTTCTATTCCCATTTCTTCAATCCCCATTTCTTTAATTCCCATTTTTCTATTCCCATTTTTTCGGTTCACATTTCTTCACTTCTCATTTCTTCAATTCACATTTCAGTTGCAGCAACACCTTTATCAAAGAACAAGAGCGTCGCCAGGGCAAACTCTCTCCACCACGGCGTCATTTTAAATCCTCTTTTCTCAGGCAGTCCAACCGAAGACATTGACGCCGGTCAGCTGGTTGACCATACACTGAAACGAAAAGGATGGGAACCAGCTGCTCTTTACGTATTAGGAGACAAGCAACACCTAAGGGTAGGGCTGGTGTGATTCTTAGCTCTTAGGGAGGGGAGGGTGAAAACTAAACTGATAAACAAGTTAATCGAAAAACAAAGGGAGGAAACAGAGAGAAGAGGGGTCGATTTCTTGTGTTAGGGAGGGGAGGGTGAAAACTAAAACGATAAACAGGTTTTAATTAAAAAACAAAGGGAAGAAGCATATATGATTTCTTGTTCTTAGGGAGGGGAGGGTTAAGTCCTCCTTTCAAAGGCATTTTTGTCTGTTATTGTGGCAAGGGTGTAATATCTGGAGGTAGAGTACAAGAGTGTTCTTACCCTTGAGTCGACTTTTATGTCTGCTTGAGAAATATTCATTCTGACATTTTAGAGTCATTTTCATCCGTCTGTGAAACAATTACTACTAGTCAGTGTTTAATTAATAGTAACTATTTGGGTGTAGTAGGCTACGAAAAGGCAAAATCAAAACCGCGTTTGCCTAATTACTTTGTCGCATGTCTTGATTATTGGGARCTAATAGGTGGTAATAGTATTTAATAGTACAATTCCTATTTTACAGACGGATGAAAATGACTATATTACGATTTTTGTAAGTCGTTTCTTTAATCACGTATTCCTCTTATTTTCTCTCTTTGTTTCATGCCTAATTGCCACCAGTTTTTATTTCTTTCTCGCCCTTTATTGTTCCTTTGTGTTTCTGTTTAGTGTTTTTAGTCATCAAACATATATTCCCTTCTATTTCCCAATTTATTTCCAATTTTTATCTCCCATTTTATTTTATTTTAACTTATTTGAATTTGCTTCCATAGAATGTCAAGCAAGAATCGTATTCCAAAGTAGAGTTTGTTCCTGTTGAGGTAGGTTTTCGTTCCTTCCAAAGTAACTTGAAATTTTCAATATTATCTTAATCACTTTGTTGAAATGGAGCTTTCAAGAAATCACTACTGCTAGAAATCGCGTTAAATTCCTTAGGTCAGCTATTCCTATACCATGGTAGTTGCCTGATGTCCATGGAGGAATTCATTTGGATATAACTTGACATAAATCTTGTCATTTGTTGAAATAGTGTTTTTTGAGTCACTCACTCGCTCCCTCGCTCACTGTAAACAACTATTTGTATCAAATAAATGGTTGTAGGTTGGTCTATTCATTATGATGTAAGCGCTACTTCAACCTAACTATTTGTATGTTAACGTTTTAGTTGCCCGATGTTCGTGCTGTTAGAGCTTGTTTCAAGAAGTTTCAGAGAGCGTGCTGTCCTAGTCAAGACACACAAGAAAGTTTTTACAAACAAATCGATGAATCAGAATGGCTGCACCAGGTAATCTTTAAACGTAAAATTCTTAACTACATCTATTTGGAGATTATGCTTATGGCTCCAGAAGTAGGCATTTTTGTCTGTTATTGTGGCAAGGGTGTAATATCTGGAGGTAGAGTACAAGAGTGTTCTTACCCTTGAGTCGACTTTTATGTCTGCTTGAGAAATATACATTCTCACAATCGATCCTTCGCACCTGTTTCTGGGCTCCCTGTCCCTCCTAAGCAACAAAGGAAGCCCGGTAAAAGGAACAACTGCAAAGGAGAGTAGTGATAGTCATTGTGAGTACTAAGTATTTGTTTATTTTTAGTTATCAGCGGTTCTAAACGTATCCAACGCCCTTGTTGATCTCATTGATATCCAAGGGTCATCTGTCATGGTGTGTTTTGAAGACGGATGGGACGTTACTTCGCAGGTACAGTACAAATGACCAAATAATGTCCCTTGATATGATTGGGTGAATTTGCTGCTTACACGTATGCTTATAGTGTATGTCGTATAAAAGTTTAAAAGCTCGTCACGTGATAAAGCAATACGGTGTTCCGGCATCATGAAGAAGAACGTTAGGACCGTTGTCCAGGGATCGTCAGGATCTGTTCTGAATGTCTTCTATACCTATGCATTGAACTAATACTCCAGTTTCGAGATCTTATTTGTGCAGTCTTAACCTCGAAAGCATGTAATATATTCTTTTATTCGGCAGAGAATCTATTGTAATGCAAACACTCTGTGTACAAAAAAGACAATAAACAATTTATGCTTGATTGAAGCTTAGCTCGCACAAAAGAGAATTCGAAAGTGGAGTATTGAAACATCTTTTAAAAAACTTATACATAATTAATGAGTTACTAGGCCAATAGAATGAGCCTATTTGGTCACATGCATGGACCTTTATATCTGATAAAACACTCCTT